AAGGTTCAACTGTGAAAATTCCGGCAAGAAAATAACCCTTAAGCCGCCTGCCTCATTTCTCCTACTTGACACGGGTGCTCCTCGCCCTCGCGATCATCCAGCTCTCATCCCTCAGGAATCCAGGGGTGGTGGAAGGAGGAATGTTACGCCCGGACAAGGACAAGACCCTTGACCCAGCCTTCTGGAGACAGAACAACAGGAGGTGCAGAGTGGCCCAACTGTCCCCGATAGGTGAGGGGTTGTGGGTGGGGCTATTCACCAGAGACGGTCAGGGCTGCATAGGCAGCCAGGACCTTCCAACAACTCTTAGCCTCTAGCAGCCCCCAACACCCCTCGGGGGCAGGTTTTGTCCTGGAAGCTTCCTCAGGCAGCACGAACAAAGTGACTACCAAGATCAGGCAGGCAGTTAAGAAACCAACGCGGACTGGCTGTGAGCAACAGGGAGCAGTGGGGATTGTAGCAAACAGGAGAGGACACCCCCACCCAAATGGACACAGTTCCTGCCTGTAGCCACCAGCACCGCACTGAGACTGAGTGTGCCCCTGTCCTGGGGCCCGTGCTCTGGGGGTACCCCCTGCCCCTCCTGTGGCTGCAGCCCTCCCTGCAGAGTCAGAAGTCCACAGAGGGTCATGTGAACCTGGAACCCATGCCCACCCTTCTAGACCACGTTCTGGGTACCTGAGACCCTACAATTCCTTGTCCAAATGGCCCCATGCCTATTTGTTCTCTGAGGGACAGATGACACTTAGGACCAAGCAGTAGCAAAAGGGGAAGGTGGTTTGGGGGTAAAGAGCCAGAGCTTGAGTGTTCGGATGGTATGTCCCAGGCTCCCAGGGTGTGGGATGGAGCCAGGGTGAAAAGAAGGGGGCAGGAGCAGGCACGGGCACACCTCCACTTTCTGGCACAAACTCTGAGGAGTCCTACAATTCTAAATACCAGTCTAGCCTCCCTGGTCATGAGATAGGAACACTTGTCAAGGTCAAATAGATAGAAGGTATTCTATTTCTGAAGCTTTGTAAGGACTTTTACACATTAGCCATGTGGGATACGAGCCTCCATTTGTACTCCTGCCAAAGCCCCATAAACATCAGGGGCTGGGTGACATGGCCAAGCAGGAGCAATGCTGGAAATACCAATTTTTACATGACAGGCCTTGATTTTTTAAATGTTGACAAATCATTCTGTGGTGATGATGATGACGAACACTGGGGATAGAGCAAGTATGTGGGCTGGCTAAGGACTGAGGGCTACCAGCCTGCATCCTCTGCACCAACAGGACACTGTCCAGCACATGTGCGGGACCCTCCATCTGCACACACGGATGACCACACCCACCTCCACATTTAACTGTCACAGTGACCGTCGGACACAGCTATTAGATCCATTTCAGAATCAGGGGACTGAAGCTTGGAGGGTTTCAGTAACTGGCCCCAAACCATAAACTCAAGTGGCGGTACTGGAATGAGAGGCTCTCTCCTCACACTGCAAGCCTGGCTTCCTCTCACAGTGCTATTTGTTTTTAGCTATTTATCGAGCCCACTATTTATCGAGCCTCTGTGATCCCGACACTGGCATCAGCACTTAACTCCTACAGCATTTTATGGAGGAGGGAGCTGAGGCTCTGAGAGGTCACGTGGCCAGTGTGGTTCAGGTTGGTTGGTACCAAGATCTGACTTCTCCAGAGCCAGAGTTGTGTCTTGAGAAGGAAAAAGTCCAAACAGAGTCTGTTGGGCAGGGTATGCCCTCAGCTAAGAGCAGAGCAGCAGAGGGAGCCTTTTCTCAGCAGCCATATGTGCAAGTTAGAGCCGTATGCAGTCACAATCTGTGTTTGGAGGTGGGGCGGGGGGAGTTTTACCCGGTTCTCTAAATTAAATTAATCAGTCTAAAAAGAATCTGTTGTAAAAATAGTGTTGTTGAAACAAAGACCCACACAGATTCCACCATTAGTCTGGAGGCTCTGGGTGTACCTGCCACGGCCAAGAAGGAAAGTGCTCAGCCACGTGCTCCTGCACAGGTAAGAGTGCTGTGGCTAGAAGGGCATCCGAGTTGAGACACAGCCCAGGGCTGCAGACGGCAGGCTCTGGCCCCCGCCAGGTCATGGAGGCATCAAATAGTCCACCTCAGTCACCTCCCTGCGTGTTGGTGATCAGATGCCCATGCATTCTGCTGGATGCTCTACCCCCATGACTGCATTCAGTCCTCCCCAGAACCCTGACAGACAGGGACTCCAAATTCCTTTTCACAGGGGAGGAAACTGAAGCACAGGGGAAAGTGACTGGCCAAAGGTCACATAGCTAAGAACCTGGCAGGGCCAGATTGGAGCCCAGAACTGGCAGCTTCCAAGACTTGTCCCCTTGACTGCTGGGTGATACTGCCTGTTGTTCACAGGGACTGATCAATGACTGAAATGTACTCTTTCTATCATCTGAAAAGGGGCAAACTAGTAAAGCTAAGTGCTTATGCTTTGGGGAGGACTCAATAGATAACACTTGGGCGGTAATTAACTCTGCATCTGGCACAATAAATATTGTACAGCCCGTTCTTTACAATCTAATCAAAGGCTCTGCCTGTTTCCGCAGCCCCACCTCCCACCATTCCTGCCACCCACCCTGAGCCCTGCCTCCAGGAGCCACCCACAGCTCTCTACACAGGCTGTGCCCTGGCCCTAGCAAGATGCTCCTCAACCTCTCAATGCAATCTCCTCTCTAAAGCCTCCCCCCAAGGAGTCAGCCCTACTTCCACCCCCACCGTCACCCACACAGGGGTAGCTCCTCACAGGCCCCTCTGGACTTCCACAGCCTGCTGTCCAGACCTCCGTTTCAGAGCTTACTGTGGGTGTAATTACATGTTCACAGATCTGTTTCCCATAACAAGCCCATCTGAGATGCAATAGGCATTAAACAAAAACAGGCAGGGAAGCTACGGCTAATACACCACGGAGAGGAAAAGTCCAGAGCACGTGGGACATCCCGCTCCCTATGCCACCCACCAGCACACCAGCTGGCACAGAGGAGGGGTGCTGAGTGCTTTCAGGAAGCACCGCAGTGAAAGCCATAGAGAATCCAAATGATCCTTTGACCCAGTAGCTCCATTTCTGGGAAGAACTGCTAAAGCAACTGGGAAAATGAGATAAAAAAGGTTAAGGCCAGAATTACCTCTAGATTCTGATGGTAAAAACAAACCAACAAACAAAATAAGCAAACAACCTGAATGTCCAACCACCAAAGGTTGGCCAGCTCTCCTCGAGTAACGCTAATGCCTGTTTGTTAACTATCTGCACCTACTAAGTGCCAGTCCCTTCACTTCACCTAACACAGCCTGGTGAAGGAGGCAGCATGATCATCCCTGTTTTACAGCGGGGAAGCCTGAGCTCACAGGCTATACTGACAGTAAGAGCCGCTAGTGTGGAGAGGCCTGTGTCCGGCACGCTTCTCAGCTGCCCGGACATGATCTCAGCGACTGCTCACAGCTGCTCTCCACACCCTCCCTTTACCAACAAGTGACCGAGGCCCAGAGATATTAATAACGTATTCATAGCCATACTCCTGCCAAGTCCATGGTCTTACCCTCTGGGCTCAAGCCCTCCTGCCCTGGGTCACTCAGCCGCCAGTAACAGCCAAGTGCTTAGGGGACAAGCACTCATGCTCTGAGACCCACGTGCTTTCTGCCGAGAGATGTTTCTCCTGCTACAGACTGCAAACCAGCTTTGTGATAGGCTGAACCATGTCCCCTAAAAGATGCTGAAATCCTAATCACCAGCATCTATGAGTGCAACCTTTTCTGGAGATTGTTATTTACAGATGATCAACTTAAAATGAGGTCATTAGGTTAAGCCCTAATCTAATAACTGTGTCCTTATAAAAAGGGGACATTTGGACACAGAGACAGAAACACACAAGCAAAGACGATGTGAAAACACAGGGACAACGTGATCTACAAGCAAAGGAGCAAAAGAGGCTACTAGGAGCTAGGAGAGAGGCCTGGAACAGATTCTCCCTCAAAGCCCTGTGAAGGAACCAACCCTGCCGACACCCTGACTTCAGACTTCTAGCCCCCAGACTAGGAGAGAATAAATTTCTTCTGTTTAAGGCATTCAGTTTATTACTTTGTTACAGCAGCCTCATGTTATTAGTCCTTCGTCAGACTATGAGGCAACTAGAAAAATGGCAATAACAGGGCCAGGTAAACATACCTGAGGTTCACATGATGTTAAAGGGAAAATCAAGGGACAAAATCATGCTGACCACCTGATCACTAGTAGAGTGAAACCACACCTGGGAGCACAGAGAAGACTGAAAGGAAACTAACAGTCAACACACAGACATTAGTATTACTCTAAGATGCTTCCCAATTTTTTGTTCCTATTCTACATTTTTCCAATTTTATCCAGCAGGCTTGCATTACTCTTGTAAGTTTTATACAACTGGCTTAAAATATATAATTGAACCATGAGGCTCTGGAGGTATAGAAGAATCCTTGTTATGGGCCGAATTGTGCTCCCCCAAAATTCTTGTTGATGCCCTAAACCCCAATATATCAGCATGTGACTGACTGCATTTGAGACAGGACCTTTTCAGAGATAATTAAGTTAAAGGTTGGTTAGGATGGGCCCTGCTCCAAAATGACTGAAGTCCTCATAAGAGGAGATTAGAACACATGGAGAAAGACACCAAATACGTGCAGGCACAGAGAGATGACCCTGTGAACACCCAGTAAGGTGACCATTTGCAAGCCAAGCTGAGAGGCCTCAGAAAACCCCCAAACAGTCAACACCTTGACCTCAGACTTCTAGCCTCCAGAACTGTGAGAAAATAAATTCCTGTTGTTTAACCTCTTGCTCCCCCCGCCCCCAGTCTGTACTATTTTATTATGGCAGCCCCAGTAAACTAATACAAAGAACCAAAGGAGAGCAAGCCTTCCCACTGCCCCCAACACTGCAAGCTGGAGCTGAGGAGCAGGCAAGGCATGCCCAGCAGGCAGGACATGGCTGCAGCACTCACCCAGGCAGTTGTGTCCATCGTGTGCCAGCATGAAGCCGTCAAAGCAGGTGCACCTGTAGTTCCCCGGGATATTGATGCACTCGTGAACACAGCCCCCGTTGTAGTAGTCATTCTCACACTCGTCAATGTCTGCAAAACAAGGAGCATTAGAGGTGTCAGAGGAAGAGCCTGGGGTCCCCTCTCCCCCCACTGGTGAAGCCACTCAGACGTGAGTAGCTAGGGGATGACTCAACAGGCATTCACTAGCATCCTTGCTGGGGGCTGGGGACCCAAAGATTACAAAGATGAAGATCCTGGCTCTGCGTCAAGACTGGCCACCACCTTGCAGAGCTAGGCCATGTGCCAGACATGTGCGGGGTGCCTTCCAGTTCCTACCACAGCGAAGCAGGCAAGAGTCACACCCAGCTCTGCCTCCCTTGAAAGCCTCTCAACAATTACAGCATGTGGGGACCCTGTGTAAACC